CCCCAAAACCCCAAAACCCCAAAACCCCAATTTTTTGCAAATTTATTGAAATAAAGATGTATAGCAGCTCGAAAGCTACCTGAAAGAAGTCTCAACGGACAGTTTCCACTCCAAAAGCGATGGAAGCTAAAAAATTTAGAAAAGGATGTAAGGTCTGAATCCAGTGCAAAACCAAAGAGTTTAAGGGCATTCTCAAAACAGCAAGAAAAAGAAGACGCTCAAACAGTAGTAGAAAGCATAGCTTGCAAAAGTCAAGCGAGAAGCCTATTAATGCCAGGATAGTAACTTCTTCTGAGACCCAGGAAACGTATGTGTAAGCATTCTTCATTAAAAAATTTAATTCTGGTGAATTTGCTCACTCTAAAATTCTAACTGCAAAAATTTCCTAACAATTATATTTTTAGCAAAACACATGACTTCAAGATCTTCACACCTCGAAAGGCAGAACTGTTGGACAGTTCAACTCAGGTTCACGAAAAAGATCTCGGGCTTGACACTTTTGCAACAGAAATAGAGAACAACAAGACAAAGTTTGTGTCGCTCATTGAAGGAATTGTTGGAAATATGTCAAAAGAGTACGAGAGCATGATCAAAGAGAAGGAGAAATACTCCCATATCATCCAAAAGATCGATCCAAGCACTTACATCGTAAGAATATGAACATCACTATTCCTCTAGACCCAAATTGACCAGTTAAAGAGCATAAACGGAATTCAATCTGAACGAATCAGTACTCTAGAAGCCCAAAATAGCTCTTTAGCACAAAAACTAGAAGCTTGTTCTAGAGAAATTGAGACCTTTGATAATCAACTTGCCTTAAAGAACCAAGAAATCTCAAATTACAAAATAGAGTCTCAAAATCAGGAAATTGAAAGAAAATCTTTAAAGCAAAAAATTGACCTCCAACTCTCAGAATCCCATGAGAAGCAAGAACTTGAGGTCAAGTACAAACAGGAATTAGAGAATGCCCTGACCGAAATCGACAAACTGACCCGTCAAAACCAAGAATTAGAGCACCAACTCCAAATTCAAAAGAGCTCTAATGACAAACTCCAGCAGGAAGTTGACAATACGAGACAAAAACACATAGACACCCAGAAAGAGCTTACCGCGATCAAAAATGACTTCAACACTGCTCAAGAAGAAGCCAATATCTGAAAACTTGACAACGGAACCCTCAAAGAACAACTTGAACGATACAAATCAGACTCTGAGCGATATCAAAATGAAATTCAGCAAAATAAAATCGATACTGAGCAACTTCTCAAGGCTATAGAAGACACCAAGCTCAACTCTGATTCTCTCCAGACGATTATCAGATCAAAGGAGGAAGGTATCCTCAAACTTCAAGAGGAGATTTCATTCCTGAAGGATATCCTTAACAAAGAAACAACTGAGAAGGAAGAGGCTCTCAAGAAATCATTGCCTGAAGACATAGAAAAGATCTCAACTCTTCAAGCCCAGATAGAATCGAATAAGACCAAGCTTGCTGAATACGAAGAGAAAATTAACAAATTAGACCAAGATAATGAATTTCTCCAGAATTTGTTAAAGAACAAGGAAGAGGTCACCCAGCTCAAGAAGAGGTACACTTATGTGAGCAATCTCTTGACATCTGCAAAGGATCAGAACTTTGATCCCCAAGTCATAAATTATGCTGAAAATATGATTAGTGATGGTAAATCGATCTTCACTAAGGATGATCTTAACAGCTTGATTAATGAAGAAGATCTAGCACTGATAAACCAAAGATTGCCCAGCATGCCTAATGACTATGACACTTACAACCTGAGTAGGACAAACAGTAAGGAACCCATAACCCTCTAGGTGAAGCTATAAGTTTCAAAAATTTCAATGATAGTCCAGTAAAGCTTCAAAAAGGACCTTCAGAAGTTGAAATTAAAGCGATTTCTGACCTCTCTACACAACTAGAGGCTCTTAAGAAGTCGAACAAGGAGCTCAAAGAACAAATAGAGTTCAGAAATCGGTACATAAAACAACTCGAAGAAGCCAGTACTCTCTCTCTAACCCATAGATGAAATCAACATGGACTCAATGAACGACTCGCAAGACAATGTGAAGGACCAGCTAGCCTACCTAGAGGACCAAAAACCCATTTTAAACGTGCCTGAAGAAGAATCTTTTGATCATTCTATTGCAGCCGACTCGTTCTCAGACGATGGAGGCCTGGAGTTAATAGAAAAAGAAGATATGCTGCAGTATTTGCATACTGTTTCAAATATGATGGAAGATATGCTATAATTTCAATTCATAATTTTTGGTAAGGGGTTTTGGGGTTTTGGGGTTTTGGGGTTTTGGGGTTTTGGGG